GCACAGAGAATCCGACAAAATTTTAAATGAAAACGCACGCCCGGCCAAGCCAAATCACTTCATTAATGCGTCATTTGTAAAGAAGCAGACGGGAGCTAAAAAAAAAAAAAAAAAAAATCACACTCTGCCTGGCCTCCTCAGAGTCACATCCGATGGCACCAACGAAGCCACACCATATGCGACATGGCCGCGAGGCAAGTTTCTAACGGAAAGTTCTCCCCACGCTGAGCTTGGGCTCGAAACTTTGCGCCAAACTTGCCACCAAGCGAGTCAGACGCTGCACAGTGGTTTCTTAATAAATCACATCCAAAATCTGAAAAATGATAAGGTCAGAAAATATTAAAAGAATACATTTAAAAAACTATAGGGATATGTTTTAAAAAAAGAGAATGTTATGAAAATGTAGTTTTCTTTAAATTCCCAAAAATAGACAAATTTAAATCTAGTATTTGTAAATAATAAGTGAATACCATTTCAATAGTTTATATTACCTGGTTCTGTAGCGTTTTCAGAATACTTTTAACAGATCGGCTATTTCAAAAAGTGGATAAATAAATTGTTAGATAACCTCAAAAATGCTTCTCTGAGTAAATGTTATCAAACTATTTTTATATGTATGTGGTATGTATAAATATATTTGAGAAAATCGATGCTTCCAACATTCAGTATAATCCTAGGTGTTAGTGCAATTAAAAGTGTGCTTACGATTTATTATGAATTTTCTTTCCAAACAATGTATTCAAAAGTTGAACATATACATATCATATACAATAAGGGGCTAAATTGAATGCAGTTTTTTATTAAAATATTACAAATAGAAAAGAATTCATTAATTTATTAATTATATGAAAACAAAGGAACATTGCTAGCTTGTATGTAGGTGCAAAAATATAAATTTAAAAAATGTTTATTGACACGAAATTAGATATTATTGTAATTTGATTAGATTTCTCCTTCTTAGGCTTTTCTAGCTTATAAGAAATCATAAAAGCGATTTTTATATATTTTCCCCTGTGTCGACAGTAAATGTTTGTTGACATAAATAAATAAATAAAGAGATGTAAATTCTCTATAGTTGAAAATACTTATTTTTATATTGTAATTATATTATTACAATTGTGATCTGACCATTATCTTTATTTTCAATAACATATGTTTATATGTCCCGATGTGATCGATCGTATTAGCTGTTTTATTTTCGATTGACCAAAACAATTTATTGTCATTAGAATTAAGTTAATTAGACTAAATTGAAATCAGTTTTTTATTAAAATATTATAAATATAAAAGAATTTATTAATTTATTAAATATATCAAAACAAAGGAACGTTGCTAGCTTGGGTGTATGTTGAAAAATCCAAACTCAAAAATGGTTTATTAACATAACTACCATCTCTATTTTAAATAACGTGTGTCTATAAGTCCCGATGTGATCGATAGCATTAGCTGTTTTATTTTCGATTAAGTTCCTTACCACTGTGGGTGGGCCAACGTGTGACAGTCGAGTAAAAGTTGATTATTTTTTACAGGCACTGTTAGATGAGGCGGGTGGCCGTACAGTGAGTAATGACTTTTGCTACCACTGCTCTGTATTTGCCGCCTAGCCCGCGGGCCCATCCAACCAAGTTGCTTTTCACATTTTACGTGAACAGTATCATTTTTTTTTTTTGTTTTTGTTGCCTTTTTATATCTCTTGTGCTGCCGCCGATGTCACCCCTGAATGTAAGTGTATGGGGGCGGGATGGCGCTCGTCCTTAGCTTTTGGTGTTGCCTGTTGTCGCAAAGTTATGCAGGCTCATTAAGTTGTTATACAGTTTAGAGTAAAATTGTCAGCTTGCTTAATTTGCTGTTGGTGGTGTTGTTCTTGTTGTTGTTGTCTTTGCTGCTGTTGCTTTTGCTGTTGTTGTTGCTGTCCTTGCCTGGGCATATAAACAATAGATTTCCGGGCAGGGTCCGTGTGCCATTGTTTAGTTTCCTCATCCATTCCGTCGTAGCTCATGGAGAATGTTGTTTAATGAAATGAATTTTAAGAGAAAATTTATTATTTGCCTTAAACGAAATGAAAAGTGGGTGGGCGTTATTCGGCCTTCAAATAACGCCTGGTTGGGTGTTTGGCATTTTGTCGGATGTGTATTTTAAGTGTAATTAAACATGGACTTGCTTGTGATTGAATTGGTTTGGGGCTGCCAGCAGCTTTGGTTTACCAGTCGTGATGAAGTAGCATCAGAACCTCGGCAAGACAATGAGTGCTCTTATCTGCAGATAATTTCAATACAAGTCTTAGGTCTATTGTAGTATACGTTTGAGCTAAGCAGTTTGCATAATAATGATATTCCTGAATCGTTATTTACGAGTTCAGCCGAATTCACAGCTAAAAGTAAAATATTTAAGTTTCTTAAGTTAGAAAATGTTTGGTTCTTGATTATTAAGATTCAATGGTGAGCGCACTTCGTTCATAAATAACAAGATATTTATTTATAGTCTAGTCAAGCAATGGATGGCTCGAGTCAGACGGTAAGGGTTTTGTTAAGTTCCTTCGATAATTTATTCTTACATCATGATAAGGCTAAAAAATGAGAGAATATTTACTTAACATAAGAAAAAATTTTTTAAGGAAGAAAAGCGATCGCCTGATATTTTTATTGCGTATTTCTTTTTCAGATAAAATATATAATAAATTATAAATGAATCCATGTCAGACTATAGGCAGTTTGGAAATATTTCATCGCCTGACGAATTCAAGATCTAGACAATCCAATTTTTAGAAGCTATATTATAAGCTTAACATTACTATACTATACTACTACATACTATTTGATAAAATACGTCAAATATTTTCTTACATTTATTAAGCCGTATTCTTTCAAGGTTTGACAGTTCATTAAAATAAAATAGAACAACTTTTTAAATATCTCAGTTCTGCCCTAATTATGCTTATTAATTTATTAATTGGTCAATAATTTACTAATAATAATAATATTTTGCGAAAATTCAATAAAACTACGTCTATTTAATATATTGTTAACACTTATATCCGATAAACAAGAATTTCTCATTTTATTAGTCTAAAGAGTTTATTAGTCTGAAGATGGTTTGATTTATCTTTGAATTACATTCGAAAGTTACAGAAAATAATTCCCATTGCTGATGTATTCCTCTCAGCCCTAATTGCCTAACTTCTGTCCACTTGAGGACCAAATTTATGCCAAATTAGTATTCATGGTTCACAGAGAACCAAATGTAATAAAAGTGCGACAAGTGGCTGAATACGAGTAGAAAACACTTCAATACACAATATGTATTGAACATGCTCGAACAAATATATTTACTACACAGAAGCAACAAAAATAAACACAACAATGTCGTAACATTCTTGCCAAACAACTCAATAAATAATACTGTTTTTTTTTTTTTTTTTTTTGTTAGCTAACCTATATAAGTAGGCAGCAAACTAGGGACTACATAGGCATGTGCTAGTGTGTGTGTGAGCTAAACAATATTCATATACATGCATAGCAACAAATCAGAAGAGGCACATAAAAGTGAGGACGGAATCAGTAGTAGAGTTGGGAGACGCTGCAAAGTATGCTACGCATTGTATTGAATTTCATATATCCTTGGCTCACAGCAGCTGCAGCAAAATGAGGAGGAAAATCAAAATCAAAATCCAAATTGTTGGCAACATGTTGGCCTGACAAGTGCGGTGGGAGGGGGGTACGGGACGGGACGGCAAGGAGCAGAGCTAGCGAAATTTACAAGCAATTGACACCCTTTTTCAATTTGACACTCGAAGTCAGAGTCACCCCTCGCTCTGGCGCCATTTATAAGGGTAATTTCAATAAATTGAGCCAAACAGCACCCTCGAAAATTGTGAATATTTGTTTTTTTTTCTTTCTTCTTCTTTTTTGCATAACGCAATATCTGATTATGCCATTCGCAAATGTGAGTTATGCGTGTATGTGGTACGAGTATTTTCTTCTGTTACTTCTACCTCCAGATGGAAGATTAGTGAATGCCTTTCGAGGGTGGAGAATGCGCCCACAAATGAGCCAAACTTACTGTGGCTTTGTGCAGATAGCATTATGCTTCTGCAATCAATAAATAAATCGATGCAGGGACAAAAAGTCATTAACATAAATTTTGAAATGGCAGACAATTAACAACAATCCACATCGATGATGACGACGACGAGCCTCGGACGCCAACCTACAAACATCATTAACAATTATTTACAATAATCCACCCAGAGCCGAACGGGCGACGTTTTAAACTTGGAAAATAAATTCTGATTGCATTAAATGTTATTAAGGTCGTATTTAAAACCTTTGATGGCATTCACTGCGATAATTGTGCGCTTAATTAAATTTTCATGCAGGTGTAATAAATGATTTTGCAACCGGACGTCTAATTAGATTTCCGTTTTTTATGATTCTGCATTGCGTTGTCATTTTGCTGTCATTGATGTCAATTGTTCAAATACCTAAAGCTATAATTATGTTGTTCGCAGTTGCGCACAGTGTGATAAGTAGGCGGAAGTTAATTATGCTCGTTTGTAGAATTAATGGGCTCCAAATAAAATGTTGGATTCACCTTTTCACCTTTAAACTTTTAGTGTTTTAATTAAATTTGAAATTTTTAGCTAGACAACATTACATTACTATATTTAACTTACGTACTTTCCATATATTATATAGCTTTTTGTTTGGCTCTAACGAATTCACGAGTAGGATTTATTAAATATCTTCTATTGCCAGCTACTTTCTAGTAAATATTAATATCAGGGAAGAATTTTATTTATCAATAATAATTAGTGTGGAACGAAAGTTCGACCCTAAAGTTACGATTTCGATTTGAATAAAATGTAATTGCAGAAAAGGGACTCTCAAACCCTTCACTGAAGAAACCAAAAGCCACAAAGTTTCGTTGAAGTTCGTTTGCTTTGGGGCTTACATTTTTTATACAATTTGTAATTGCATTTCTAAATAGTATTGGTTATACAGTTTTGTTTAATATTAAGCACTGTACTGGCAATTTATTAATAACTAAAATTTACTCCATTTACTTTAAATTTCAAAACTTTTCCTGATACACCATATAATCGCTCTATTCTTATATCCCCGTCCTTAATCCCAGAAATGCAATTTGCCCGGCGTCGGCAGCTTACCGGACTTACACTTGCCTTTATTAGATATGGAGTCTGCACACGGCTTCTTTTCTTCGGTTTTCGCAGACTCTGTACCCTTAGCTTTACCAGCCTCGGGGCCCTTAGCTTTGGCGGCCTCGGCAGCCTTCATCTTCGCGGCTTCGGCAGCTTCTTGATCCTTTTTCTGCTGAACCAAATCGATGGGTGGACGCACCTGACAACGTGCATCGCGCATAAAATAATAGTTCGTCCATAACTTGGCTGTACCTGAAGGTATATCTGGCGGTGGTTGAGTCCGGGGCGACAAATTGAATTGGTGGCGATGAGCTGTGGTGTGTTCGCGGCCCAAAAGAAATGCGCGCACGCGCTGTAGAAAAGGTCCAATGTCACGACGGTCGGGCATTTTATTCATTTTATTTCATGAAGAAAAATTTGTAATTTTTTGTAATCCAAAATAAATAAGGTTTATGTATTTATAATATATGTACATAATATGTATGTGAAACAAATGGCCTACTTGAGTGCGCCAACTTATTGACAGTTTTTGCAATACTATTTACCCCAAATTTAGAAAGGTTGTTCTTAATTTTTAAAGAATATATATGTGGAATGCAATGAAAACAATTATTAAATAATATATTTCAATTAGTATTAAACAGCCCTCTTGCTATTCTATCATTAATTACTATTATTATAAAAAATGTTTAATAACATACTTATATTTGCTTCATCGTATTTAAAAATTAATAGAATCGAATGTTATTGTTATTGTAGCTCAATCGATGTTTATATTCCACAGTCTTCTATAAGGTTAGCTTTTATGCTCTTTTTAGAATTATCTTATGCAGTGAAGCATTTCAGTGATTCATTCCACACGAATTCATGCAACAGTTGTGCCCAAAACTACGCCCACACAGATTTATGCGGCCCCCTCCCCATTCAACTCTCACACACTTCAATAAGTCAATTCAATAAGCGTCAATCTTTTATATCTATTCTTTTTTTTTTGTGTTATCCAAAAATGCGTGCGACGCTGCACTGTCAATCAAATCCGCCAATCTGCAATTGTGCCGATGAATTTCAATTACGGCGCAAAAAACAAAAGACACGCTACGGATGTGAGGGTTGGCCGGAGTGATTGGAGGGGTGCGCCGTGGCTGGTGCTGGCATTTGGAGGTTACGTGTGGCATGCCACCAACTTGACCAGAATTCGAGGCCACCTAATGAAATTTTCGCAATATGGTTGAGTCTGAAGTTTGAAGACAATGCGAGACAGCGCAAAATGCGTTCTAATGAAAACACTTCAATTTCCGATGCCAATCAAATGGGGCGCAGTGCAAAATAAAGACAATAGCAACAACAAAACAACAACAACAACAGCAGCAGCAGCAGCAGTCATGTGACAGGCAGACGCGTGCACCCACGCAACAGCAAAAACAATGACAGCTCAAAAAGTTACTGTACTTTATTTTATTTTATGTATTGTGTGTATGTGTGTGTGTTCTGCGCCTGTCACAAAATTGACGCCTTGACATTGCGCTTAGCGCCGTCAGTTTGACAGCCATGGGCCATGGGCCGGAAGTTGGGCCGCTCAGCGAACGTGTGAGATGTTAATCAGGAGAACTGTGCCTTAGAACGCTGCTCACATTTCATCAGATAAGCAGCTTGTCGAGATTTACGAAATCGAGCTGATTATGTCTTTGTGCCAGAGCTTGGGCTCAAGCTCCGATTCGTGTTCTCGTCCTCGTCCTTGTGCTCGTAATTGTAGTCGGGCCGAGTCCCACGCTCATTGCTCGGCCCGCGGCCTCATGGGCCGCACGCGTCAAAGGGTGGCGCAGGCGCCGCCTGTTTACCTTTTGGCTTTTGTAGTGTTATTAGTGTTTGGGGGAGGGCGGGGAAAGGTGGTTGTTCGATGTGTAGCTTAGCCATGTTTTACAATCACTTTTTTGTTCTATATGGGAAATGCATAAATCAGTTTGACTCTCAATTTGATTATAATTTACGGCACACGCGGTGTTTTGCCATCATTTGCGATAAGCCTACGAGCTAAATATCAGGTTAGCTATATACGAGTATGTATTTGCTGGCTACATGAAAGAGAATTTGATTTCGTGATGGTGAATGTGGGAACGCTTTGTGTGAGAAAAGAATGGTTAAAAAAAAAGATTAAGCCATCAAGACTTAAAAACTAAACTAAACTTTGGACATCTTCTGATTATAAAAATACCTAAAAACAAATATTTTAACCAAAGAGAATTTGATTTCGTGTTGGTGCATGTGAGAAAAAAATGGTTAAAAAAAAACTTGAAATCTTGGTCAGGCTTAAAAACTTAATTAAAATTTGGACATCTTCTGATTATAATAAGTTACCTTAATAACTAAAAATTAACTAATCAAACAACTATTCAAACTTAGGGGAATTTGATTTCGTGTTTGCGCATGTGGGAAAGCTTTATGTGAGAAGAGAAAGGTAATAAAAAAAAAATCTAAAGTCTGGATCAGGCCTTTCAACTGAACTAAAACTTTGGGCATCTTCTGATTATAACAATACCAAAATACCTAAAATTGTACTAATCAAACAACTATTCTAACTTAATGGAATTTGATTTCATGTTTGTGCATGTGAGAAAAGGAAGCTCAAAAAGAAAAAAAATGGAGCCGTGATCCGATTCAAAAACTTAACTAAAATTTGGGCATCTTCTGATTATAATAAGTTACCTTAATAACTAAAAATTAACTATGGAACTTCTTTTAAAATCGGCCTAATACTATCAAACATTGCAATTTTGGATGAGGGACTGAACTAGTATACCCTATTACCCTTTGGGTACAGGGTATAAATATAAAATTTGTGCTTTATTTATATATGGAATACAGGAGTTTTAGTTTCGTTATTGTTCGTGCTATTTTGTGTTTGGAAAGCTCAATTTGCTTGAATACTATTTAGTTTTGATTTATTAGAAACAAAAATTGATATTTTTCTGCCTGTACCCTTGGCGTAGAGGGTATGATAAAAAAAACAAACCTCAATTTTCTTTTGATTCCGTTGTTCTATTTGGAGATCACAAATAATTTATGTAATTCGGATTTGGAGCTGAAAAATTTAAATGAGAGTGCAGCCTTGTTTTGTAGAATTTTTATGGAATATCGGCTCGACAAAGTCTTTTACAAATCAATGTTAATCTAGAAATTGTATATAATAGGTAAAACTAAAACTAATAAATCATATCTTTGACTTTTTTTTGAATAATAAAATCGTATCTTTTCTGTCATTTCAGTAATAAGTGTAAAATATGTGAAAAAATTCGAATAACAGTAGACAGTTGTGTGGGGTTTTAGTCAGATTTAAAAATTTCTTTTTTTATTGCTGTTATTGTGATGTTTCTGGCACATATATACGAGTACTTCCTATTGATATTAATATAGCAGATGCATGTTCTATCAATAATGATTTGGGCAATAATAAAATGTCTTAAATAGTCAAACACATCAATGCCAACACTTTGTATTTTAATCCGTTACTTTTATATTGTACTCGAGAACTTAAAATCATGGAAACGAAAGTACGGTAAATATTTAAAAGTATGTAAGTGAATCCCGAACCGTTCAAAAACCATTTTTGATTCGCATTCCTTTTTTTAGCTCATCGAAATTGTCTGATATAAGCAAAAGTTTACCAATTAATTTCTGAGGCTGAGAAGTTATTGTTAGAGTTCGTACTAGACACGCGCCTCGATACAAGACAGATTGATTTGTAAAAAATATTTAAATTGCGAAAGCGCAGTCTCCAAATCGTAAGTGGTACAAATGAATTAAGACAAAATTTAGTTTATGTTTTTTATTGAAAATATATATTTGGGACATCAGCACAAAATTTAGTCCTTTAGATGCAGCTTATCCGGCCATGCGTTGATAACAGCAGATTCCACGAAGCCCACTCCTAGCAGAGCAATGGATACCAGAGCGAATAAGAAGTTCATTGTTGAATGTTTTCCTTTTGTTTAAAGACTAAAATGTGCTACTCAAAAAACAGCTATGGTAGAGCGAAAATAATCATAGGTTTTCAGTTGATTGCGGAAGTTTGGATTTATATAAGAAGTTCGTACCAGTCTCTGGCATGAACCTTTCGTTATGTATGGAAATTAGATTTATAATTTAAAGTGACTAGTCGACTTTTTATTCTGCGCTCCGTGAAAAATTGTATTAAATTCCTCTTTTTCAATTAATTCGCGTCTAGTGCGTTTTAAGAAAAATCACCCGGAAACCTAGTTTCACCTTGGCTGTTTGGCAATCGTTTAGTGTCCATATTTTCTTGGATTCCAATCAACAATTAATCTGCTGTATGGGGCTGCTCTGCTGACGTATACACGTCATCGAAGCAGAGACAGCCCAGAATTTTTCTGCTTTGCTTGTTTTTTGCAAATCATCTTATCTCACTTAAATGAATGCTGATGAAGACTCGGCCGCTCTCGGAGCAGCTGAGAAAGTAGTCAATAAGCTGCCGAAGTACGTGGAGATGAGAACAATTTCTGGTAAATCACCTTCGGAGCTGAGAGCAAAAATAACCAAAGACCTGCATATGTCAGTGGGAAAACCATACGTAAAGCCGTCAAGCTCAACCAGTAACTGGTTTGCCTCAACCACTTGTACATCGACTACAAGTACACTTACATTTTCTGTGGTGAACTCTCAATCAAAGTACACCACAGTAGCGACATCAAATGGCAGTTTGTGCTCCAAATTAAACAAATTCGGCGTCAAAGGGTCATAGTTGAGATACCCAAAAAAAAAAAATTTTGATGCAATCCTCTGCCACAGATGCCAAGGATTTGCTCATACAAAGAATTATTGTTGGAGACCTTTCATCTGTGGAAAATGTGCGCAAGACCACCCAACTGCGCAATGCAAGGAAACCTCGTTGGAGAGCTTTTGTTGCGCCAATTGTGGAGGTAGTCACCCGGCTTGGTCTAGGGAATGCCGTGTCTACAAAGCCAAAGCTGAACAACGGAAGCCAATGATAAATATAGCTAAACGTGCCAGTAATCCAAAAAATCGGCAAGAATTTGTTCCTGCAGCTATGGTTCAAGAGAACATTTCTTACGCACATTTCTTCGTACCCGTGCTAGCGTACACAATTCTGATCGGAACTCGGGCTCAAAAAAGGGAATTAATATAGAAAAAAGAGACAATTTGGACATACACAACCAGGAACAGAATTGGCAACACATAAACACAAACCGTAGCACGAGGCTTGAGGCGGCTATTGAGGCCCTCACAGCGAAAGTTGACACACTACAAGCCATGTTTAAGGAACTGCAGGAGACAGGAGGAGCGGCGATCCTAGTCAAACAGGACATTTCGTACTTCCCTTGTGACCCGGTGAAGACTGCACATGTACAAATGGCTACGATTCAAGTTGCCACAAGCTCGGGAGATTTGGTTGTGTCGTCTCTCTACCTCC